AGCCAAAAGGACAAACAAATGGGTCCTAGAGCAGATCAAGATGGAAACATCCCTGGAAGCCAAGATGACCAAACTAATGGCCTTTGCAGACTGCCAGAAATAGTGCACATTAAATTGAGGCACTGCCCTGGCTCAGGGCTAAGGAATCATGGGAACTGTAATTTATTGTGGCACCAGAGCTCTCTGACAGAGAAGGCTCAATGCCCCAGAAAAAAATACAATTCCCATGACTCCCTAGCACTGAGCCAGGGCAGTGCCTCAATTTAATGTGCACTATTTCTGGCAGTCTGCAAAGGCCCTAAGGCTGTCATGCTTTGGACATATCTTGAGAAGGGAGGACTCTTTGGAAAAAACAATAATGCTGGAGAAGGTGGAAGGAAGTAGAAAGAGAGGAAACTTCTCTTTCAGCTTCTGCCAGAAGCATACCATAAAATTGTGTTGGAGGACCTAGAAAATGCTTAGCAAAAACATATTTTTCAGTAACAACAAAAATCCACCCAACAGTGATACCTTTATTGGGACAACCAAAATGCACAAAAGACATGTTGCAAGCTTTTGAAGCTTCACTGGCTTCTTCATCAGGCAAGGTGTTACAAACCAAACAGGAGGGGGAAAAACTGAAGATGTTATTCATAGGCCTCCCTTTTGCTGTTTCTCTTCTTGGCTGCGATGGTATGGAGGGGCATCTCTTGCAGGCTGGTACCTCTTCCTTCTGGCCATGTGGCAACTGGGAGACTCTCAAAGTCCAGGAAAGTTAACATCCATTGGCAACACACACACACAAAATAAATAAATAAATACTTCAAGTACACCAAATGTCTCCATCCTTTGTGAGGCTACGGGCCCCTTTTGAAGGTGGAAGGCATTGGATTACTCAAGAAGCCTTCATTATTTTGCATCAAGGAAACTTTGGGTGGTGTTGAGGCAAAACATGCCAATACAGTCCAAATTTAAGGAAAAAAAATGTTTTATTTTTGTTGTTGCTCAAAACCTCAAAGGTGGAGATCCCAAGCAAAAAGTGCCTGGAATAGCTAGAGAAAGGAGGGAGGGTTCTTGCCGGTTGAACCTTAGTTTTGTGTGGTTTGGGGGCAAAAGTCACCCCAAAATCACAGCTTCAGTTTTAATGTCCTGGATTGGGTTTTTTATTTGTAAGCTGCTTTGCATCCCAATTTTGGGGGGGAAAGTGGGATATATTGTATATACTCGCGTATAAGGAGATTATCGCATTAGGATATAAACCGGCTTACCTGAGCCAGTTTAAAATTTAAAATTACAAGCAGGTGGCATCCTGATATTATGAGACACATTTAGCCAAAATCGCTGTCCAAGAGCAGCCCGAGTCCATCGCCACTCAGAGGGGCGCTCCGGTGGACATTTTTTCAAGCTGGAAAACTCCCAGCTTCGAAAAGAGGCGCAAGGAGCCCCCCCTTCCAGCAGTGATGGACCCGGGCTGCATGCGAGTGGCGATTTTGGCAGCTAAATGCATCTCATAATATCAGGATGCCAGCCACTTCTAATTTTAAGGCTGCTCAGGTAAGCCAGTTTATATCCTTATGTGATGATAATCTCCTAAGTCTAGAATCCATGGGTCAATGTAAGTACTGTGCCTTCACTCTTATCAAAAAAGGAACCATCCCTTCTCTGAGTAGAAAAAGGCAAGAGCTTTGTTCATCCTGGGAGACCCTAAAAGAAGCACTACCCCTCTCTATTTTCTCCACATCTGGGTGGGAAAACAGCATTGTGCTTTTGTATCATTTTCTTTTCCTTCATTCTTTGCATTCTTTGTTACATGCCCCTAAGTTTTACCCTCAACTTATCGTATATACTCGACTATAAGTCAACCTCAGATGTAAGTCAAGGGCAAGTTTGGGGGCTGAAGTTATGGATTTTGATATGACTCAAGGGTAAAACTTAGGAGCATATAACAAAGGATCTAAAGGATGAAGCAAAGCAAAACAATGTCAAAGAACTTACAAAATCCCCGCAGACATAACGCTTTGTGCTCCACTCTTAAGTCTGGATGGATGAGAGATTAGAGGAGATCCATTCTTCCAGGACAGATAATACTCTTGCCTTTCACCAAGAGATGGGTCCTTTTTTAAAATAAGAGTTAAGAGACAGTACTTACATTGATAAGTCGACTCAAGTTTTTTATACCTGAGTATATACAGTATACATAGGTTATATAAAAATCCATAACTTTTGGTCCCAAAACATGCCCTCGATTTATACATGAGGTCGACTTATAGTTTAGTATATACACTAAATAAATCCCATGACTGGCAGTGGACTTCGGGGCTGTAAAAGTGAGGTCCATAGGCTGAATGAGGCCCATGGACTGTTATTTTACACATCCCTTGTTTGAAGGGAATAGATTCACAGGTCTTGAAAGAAGGCATGTTTGGCCAGCTAAACAGCACTACTCCATACAGTAACATTTTAATAATAAATAAATGAATAAATAAATAAAATTTATTTATATCCCGCCCCTTTGAGATCAGTCTGGGCGGCTAACAACAATAAAATACACATACAACAGTAAAATCTAATTCCCACCCCCCCAAAAAAGTTATTAAATCAAATTATGAATTAAAACATAATATAAAAACAGAGCTACAATATTTAAAATTGTTACAGGATACTACAGTGGGCCCTTGGTATTCACTAGGGTTTGGATCTGTGGATGCTCAAGTCCCATTAAATGCAATGGTGTAGTAAAAATGGTGACCCTTATTTAAAAAAAAATGCCAAAATCAAGGTTGCTTTTTGGAATTTATACATTGTTAAAAAATATTTTCAAACCATGCGTGCTTGGATCCGTGGATAAAACAAAATATCCGTGGATACTGAGGGTTGATTGTGCTGATATTTTATGGTTGTTTTTCTGTTGTTCCAAAAAAGAATCAACTAAGAAAAAGAGAAAGGAAGGCTGCCTAATGGGAATGGATGATTACCGCAATTAGCATCAAGTTTCCAACAAAATCCATCCCCTGTTCAACTGTTGGTGACAAAGTTGGATTCCCTGATTTATTTATTTATTTTAAAGAGGTGTACTTTAAACTCTTTCCAAAGAGGAAATGGATCTCCCTCCTTATTTGCATGGGCTATTAGGTTGAGCAAAGGCAAAGCGGTGCAGGGAAGGGGATTTTCAGTTCAGCAAATGGGGATTTTAGCAAATTAAGTTACACAAAAAAAGTAGTAAAAGTGCAAGATTCTTGCCTTTGGTTAGTATGTACTCACTGGATTTAGGCTGCAGTTATTAACCATGCAT